CTGCAGCCTCGACCTGCTGGGCTCCGGCAATCCTTCCGCCTCAGCCTTCCGAGTAGCTGAACTACAGGCGCGTGCTACCACGCTCGGCTAATTTTTTTGATTTATTGTAGAGATGAGGTCTTGCCAAGTTTCCTAGGCGGATCTTGAAACCACGGACTCAGGCAATCCACTCACCTCAGCCTCCCAAGGCACGGGATTTACAGGCTGAGCCACCGAGCCTGGCTGAGAGACATTTTTTTAAGTGATCATAATTTTTCTTGCTTTAAAATGCTTCCCTGTTTACTAGCATTTACAAGTTAATGGGTAGAAAAGCACTCAGTAGTCCATCATTTCCACCTTATAAGATCAAGTTTATGACGGTATGATGAAGGGCTGCCTTTTGCTTAGACAGACATTCAGGTTGGGGACGGGAAAATGGTGACACAATGTAGAAAAGCCGGAGGGCATGGAGTAGAGGTTTACTCTGTGTCTTCTTCCCCAGGGAGCCAATTATCCAAATACGAGGATCACACCACTGCCCAACCAGAATACCACCATCCACCTTTCTGTTCAGGCCATCCTTGGAGTCGTCCTTGACTCCTCACCCCTCTCACAGGCTATGACTATGACGGTGAGGTCGTCACAATAGAGTGTCTGAGGCACAGGATGATTATTCCTGTCACGGCTCTAGTCATTTATCCACTCATCAATTTGACCAATATTAACACATTTCCTGAAAGTGTCTTTTTTTATCTTAAAATTGCATGCAAATTTGTCATCTATAACATAGTTACTTAGCATAAAAATGTCTTTACTTCCTGCTGAGTAAAACTGATATTCCAGATAGACATAGCATAAGGCCACGAGGTACAGTTGCACAGGCTGTACAATGCACACCTCAACCGGATGCCATTCATACTGTAGTTATTGTGGATTTGTATATCACAAAAATTTTGTTGGAAGGCAGTCAAATGCCTTAAGAGGCACTTCTTTTCTAACTTGCAAAGGTGCCATATGGGAAAACAGCAGTTCTGGGCTTGAGTACCTTGGCACATGAACTTGGCATAAGCCTGAACAGCCTGATCATCTTATATATGAAAAAGTCAAGTTCCAGAGGTGGAGAGACCATAATTAGATCATAGCAACACTGGGTCTCTATTCCCACTCCAGTGCTTTTTTTATAGCAACATGCTCTTTTCAGATACATTCTTTCATTTCTTATCTCAGTCTGAAGAGACCTCTTCAGAATGGGTATCTTATACCTTCTTGCCATTGTTTCTACCATGAGTGGATATAGAGATAGATGCAGATAGATGCAGAGGTAACTATCCTGTTCTCGCCAAATATTCGAAGAGGTGAAGTTACTAGACTGTAAGCTCACGAGAAGGGACAGTCTCTAACATCATCCCCCCACCCCCTTTATCCTTAATACCTAGCATACAGCTAAATTATAGTTTATACAAGGAAATGTAACATTTTCTGTGAGCCCCTCAGGTTCCTACCACGCTGTTTTTTGTGTCTAAGGCACAGTGTCAGGATCTGAGAAGCACTGAAGCGGCTTCTAAGCTGCTTTCCTAATCTACATAACTGCTTATTCTTGGTTGGGCTCATTCAGCCAGGAGCAGGATCAGTTATAGAATCATAAAATGGTAACACTGGATTGGATCTTATAAGTCATCTAATTCAATTCCTTCTTTTTTTGTTTTTTAGTTTTTATTTTTATTTTTTATAGAGACGAGGTCTTGTTATGTTGCCTGGGCTGATTTTGAACTCCTGGGCTCAAGCAATCCTCCTGCCTTGGCCTCTCAAAGTACAGGGATTACAGGTGTGAGCCACAGCACCCAGCCATCAACTCCTTTATTTAATATTCTAGGAAACAGAGTTGCACGGAGTTGGAAGGTAGCTACCATTCAGGTAGCTACAGCTGACTTATGCCACGGTTAGTTCCTAAACCTCAGATTTTCCAATCACCAATTAGTTACTCTTTCCTGAATACCACAACACCTTCCCACCAACCAACAAATAATGGTTAGAAGTAAACAATGTCAGAGACATTGTGGACTAGAGAAGTGTACCCTTAAAAATGTTTCCCTAAGTCTTGTCTGAGTCAGACAATGATAAATCAAGAGTTTGGGAAGATAGACTATTTATTCTCTCCTTGCAATAGGCACTACTCAGATAGAAGGGAAAAAAAGATAAGACAGGTAAGACTATGAATGATCCTTAAATTTTCTGAAAAATGAATACAAAAATGGGTTATAATTTTTCTGTACATGAATGGTTAATTTTGAAAGCATAGCTGATTAGTCACACAGTAAATTGTGTAAGTCTGTATATTCTGACTCCAAGCTAGAAATTCTATAACCTAGATCATTAGTCTAATATAATAATAATTTTAACTAAGAATATATATTATCTTATACACGAGGATATATTCTCAAGTTGCTATCTAAACAATCGCAGGAATCTGTTTAAGAAAAAATACACTTTTCAGATTTTTAGCTTTATTTCAGAAATAAAAATTTTAAAACAACACTAGAACTTCATTTCAATAATATTCCAGGTTATGGGACTAAGCTGATGGTTCTTAAAGTTCACATGGTTATTTTACAGTCATGTAACACACAATGATGCTTCAGTCAATGACAGACTATATATATGATGGTGGTTCTATCAGATCATGATAGCGTATTTTTACTGCATTTTTTCTATGTTTGGATACACATTTACCTCTATGTTACAATTGCCTACAGGATACAGTACAGTAACGAGCTAACAGGTTTGTAGTCTAGGAGCAATAGGCTCTGCCAGATAGTCTAGGTGTGTAGTAAGCTGTACCTCTAGGTTTGTGTCAGGACACTCTGTGATGATTGTCCAAGGATGAAATCATCTAATGATGCATTTCTCAGAACCTACCCCTTTTATTAAGTGACACATGACTGTACACTCTCTCTATAAAATTCTCTTCAACAGAGATTAATGAATATATTGTAGTGAGAATCCTGTGTTATCTACACTGCTTTGCTGATCCTTCCTGTTTTATATATTAAAGATAAAAATAACTTGTAGGGCAGCTATTTCTTCCTTATAAGTCTATTTTAAAACAGAATGTACTGCAAACAAGAAGTCCAACATAATTTCAATCTTCCATGATACCAGTTTCTCAACATAAACAATTTTGATTTTCAAAAGTCTAGCAAATGGTGCTAATGGATAACGCATTAAGAAAAGCAAAGCTATATGTGTGCACATAGCTTCCATTTTGATGGCCTCCAATTTTTTGAGCTGGACCATAATGCAGCAAAATGGCACTGGCATATTTATACCTGGTCATGGCTGGCTTCAAGGGAGCTTCCAATAGCATGGAAAGTCATCTGCACAGGGGCTAATGTCAGACAGGTCACACACTCTTTGCCACTTTGTCTATCACAGTAGTGAACCTATAACAGAACACACACAATCTGCTGAACACCATTTTAAGAGGGAGCCAGACACAGTACGTCCTTTTTCAAAGGGTCTATATTTGGGGGAAGAAAATTCAAATAATTTATGCAGGACACACTTTAAAAATTTAGAACCTTACTGGAACCCTCTAATGTCCATGAAAAATCTACTAGTTTCATCTAAAGTTCTTTTTAAGGTTTTTAGGGAATTTAGGATATATGAGGTGCTTTACATTATAGTTAGTAGGAAAATTTACAATTAAATGCCACCCTTATTGTTAAGGTCCAGCATTTCATAAAGGGCACAAGCAAAACCTAAGTCAAAGTTTATTTGATTCTGACGGAGTTTTGTCAACCTGAATGTTATCCCATCTTTGACTCTGTGTGTATGTGATTGCCACAAAATTGGTAGTGACATTCTTCCATTTCTACATAGCCCCTACAAATCACTGTTGAATACAGAGCACCATATCATGTTCTGTTTGAAATTTTGACATTACAATCAAAGTGAATTAAGTTGAAATGATTTGTAATGTGCAGACCAAAATAAAGTTGCCACAATATTATTTTTCATTTAGTTAAATGCAACTAACCATGATTAAAACCACATGCAAGACATTTCATATTAGAGGTAGGGCATAAGGGAGTGGGAAGAGTATGAGTCCATCTTCCCATTAGGAGAATTGCCAGCCTTCCATTTAACTTTTCAAAAAAGTTCTTTCAGTGTTTCTTAAAATTGTAAGCAAATAAAGTAAAAAGAGCATTCCTCTTGTGATACATTAATAAAAACATGCCTATAGAATGGAGTGGGATTCCTATTAATTACATTAGAAAGAAAATTGGTTTTATTGGCTATAACTTACCCAATTTGTTAAATGTGTGTAGGATAAAGGCTTAGGTGAAAATCTTGAATGTGTGAGAAAGAAACTTTAAAACACATACCTGAACTAGTTCCTTGTCTTGGGTTTATACTTTACTTGCTGTGTAATATCCATATAGTTTTATTACAGAATATGGTCCAGATTTATTTTATCATGTATAATATGGATCTGACTGAAAACTACAACAATATCAATTCTAGTCTAATAGTTTCATGATTCAACTTTTAAAAACCACTAGGGCTGTTAAGAATGGCCATGATTTTCTCTGGAGGTAGGAAAACTTCCTCCTGGGAATCTATAACAGTTTAGAGCTCAAATCAAGTAAATACAAAAGTCTTCTTTCCAAAGTACTGTAAAGATTTTGTTATAAAAATATTTTTTCCAAGTTAACCTTGGGGGAAAAGATTTGATTACAGTTCTAATTCACTGTACTAACTTCCTGAGCAAATTAAAGCTCAGTCGATGTATATTAGTTAAAGAATGTTGAAGTATTGTTTACTATGTTGCTGGGTATGATGGGCAATAAAGGAACTTATCATATAACAGGTTTATGTAAAAGCCAATAAATGGTGACACTATAATAGCTACAGTTCACAACCATTTATGGTATAGTTAAACTATTATGTCTGATATAGTGCTATTATAAAACATGCTTTTAAATTTAATAAAATATAATCACCTTTTCAACACCAACTGAAAGTCTGCATAAAATGTATGATACTCTCCTAGCCTAAATATACAGAATGACAGTGTACACACTTATATGTCAGTTGACTTACAGCAGCTATATTTTTTTTCCTCCTATGAAATGAAAATTAGGAAGGACAAAAATAGGACAAGACCTTTCTATTCGAAAAGATAAACTTCAAACTGCATTTCTGTCAGTGGTGTAGATGCCACTACTGAGAGATTTAACTTTTCTCCTATCTGAATACAATTCACTGTGAAGCCTGCAAATACCTAATAAAACACTATGCATCCTACAGACATTCAATGTTAGTGTACATGTATAACTTATCTGAAAGGTAAACATAAAGGTACAAGTTAACGCACAGCTTCTAAGACGTCACAGCACCTGGTGATATGATAGAGGCTGCTCGTTATTCACCAATATTCTTTCACAGTAATTTTTAGCTGGGCACTTGGATGCTCAAAATAAAGACCCTATTTCCTAGGCTCCCTTGTAGCTATGACTGAACATATAACTAGGTAGACTGCAAGAGGAAGAATTGTGTGAAGGTTTCCAGGAAATAATTAAAAGAGATTTCAGGTGTGTGCCTTTTGCTCTTTTACCCATTTGCCAACCTAACTGGAGTGTAGATATTGCCATCTTTGATGATGAGAACAAGGGCTGAAACCTAGATATGACAGAGGGGTGAGGTGGAAGGAACCTGTGTCCCCAAGACTTCATGGAACAGAAGTCTTATGAAGTCTAAGGCTGGTATGGTCTTCAGCAAACCAGCCTTAGAGTGCAAGTTTATAGAGCTGCCCATGAACAGGGAAAAACAAACAAACAAACAAAAACAGCAAAAAGAAAACCCGGAGAGAGGTTGGGAAGATGGCAGCTGAGCGTCAGACTCTATGAGTCCCCATGGGAGTGAGTGTATGGAAAATCTTGTGTATGTGCTGGTGAGTTAGTGGGCATGTGAGTGGTTGACTGAGTGAGGATGAGGGAGCTAGTGGCCAGGGCTCTCCTGGTGCAGCAGTTGATGCCGTGCTGCTGGGCTTGGACACTAGTGACTCCCAGAACACAGAAGCCAGCACCATTTTCTTTTTCTTTCTTTCTTTTTTTTTAAATCAACAAACCCTCCCTGGGAAGAAAATGCTAGGAGAGACTGTCTAAGTGGGGCTCGTGAGCAAGTGGCCCCTGGTGCAACAGCTGGCGCTGCAGCTTCTCTGCTTTGTCCCTGGCTCTTCCCAGGTCGCAGAAGCTGAGTACCATTATTATTATTTTTTTTTAATGGACAAAAGTGGTGGGGAGAAAATATCACCCCAGGCTCTCCCTCACCTGTGCAGCTGCTCCGGGATTTGCCTCACCATTTCAGCACCTGGCGGGGCACTGGCAGCAGGGGCTATGGAGGAAGTCCAGAGGCAAAGTCCCACGGAAGAGGACAAGAGAGGCACCGCACCACCATCTTGAAGGTGGGGCAGGAAAGTGCTCCAATTTGCTCAACACGGAGCAACAGACCCGATCTCTGTGACCAGGGGATCACTACTCAGGGCTTCATTGTGACCCTGAGGGAATATCCTGAAAGCACAAACTTTGGAGGGACCTGATGAGTGCTGAGTTCCAGGTGCCCCACCCCCTACCCTGATCCAGCCATGGGACAAAGGGTGTGGTCAGAAAAGGATGAGGAAGAACTCCAAAGAGATCAGTAGTGAGTCAGGGCTGACCTAGACCTCCTCCTCCTCAGCAACCCTCTGAACGTCAGACCACACAGCTGGGTCATGACTGGGCCATGAGAGGGACAAACCCAGGCAGACCCTGGACGTCAGTCGCAATAGGAGAACTCATTCCAGGATAGGCCTGGCTGGGGCACCCCCTACAGGTACAAACCTGGGGAAGAGACAATCCCATACTTCTCCACCGGAGGAGATCTCCCTGACCATACGAGAGTGGGAGGAGAGGACTGCAGCCCCACCCATCTTCAGTGCCCCTCCTTCTTCCATGCTTTGGACCCTGAGGAGTGAAAGAGGTAGCTCTACAGGAAAGACCTGACTGGTGGAACAATTACAGAGTCTGCCACAAGAGGGCAGGTTTTTTTATTTTTAATTTTCAATTAAAAAAATTTTTTAAAAATGCTTTGACTGTTTGTTAGTTCATCTATTTTAAAAATATTTTTCCTTTGTGTGTGAATGTGTATGTGAGGGTTTAATCTGCTCCCCCCAAATATTTTTTCTTTTTTTTTTCTTTTGTCATTTTCTGTTTATGTGTGTATGTGAATGACTGAGTGTTCATCTTTCAATTTTGTTGTTATTGGTTTGTTTTTCCTCTTTTGTTCTTCTGGTTTTTTAATTTTCATTTTTCATAGTTTAAGTTGTGTGTCAAGATATGTGTGAGGATTCGACCTGAATTCCATTTTCTCCCTCCTCTCTGGTCTTTCTGTTTTTCTTCTCTATTCACTTTATGCTAGGCATGTGTGTGTGTGTTTAGTTTCCTTGGGGTTTTTTTGTTGCTGTTGTTTGTTTTGTTTTACTTTGTAGTTATTCCAGTTTGTTGGGGGGAGTGTATGTTCAATTGCTTATTTTTGCATTGGTTTCTGCTTTGCATCATCATATAGAGTGGTGGTGGGGAGTGGGTCTCAAAGGAGCACATATGACAATAAGTGAATATTGTAATTTTCAAGTAGTTTCTAATCCTAACAACTCATCCCCTATTTTATTCGAATTTCAAAAACTACAAGAGACAGCAAAGCTTCCCATCCACTGTCATATTTCAAAACAGAATAAATCCAGAGAACAGATCAGGGAAGAACAGAGGACCAAGCAAACATCAGAAGGGAAAGCCTCTCCCACTGACACAGAATAACAGAACTAAAGAGAAAAACAAGAGATCTGTCACAAATGAGGAAAAACCAAAGGAAGACCTCAGGCAATTTCAAGTACACCAAAGACAAAACTCCTGAAAAATCAGACTTTGGTGACCAAAAATGAAAGTCACCAACAACTGGACCCAGAATACAACAGGGATTAGGGAATGGATGGAAAGAGTGAATAAGACTCAAGAAAGACAAGATATAACACTGAAAGAACTTACAGACTTTTGAAATAAAAAATTTCATTCAGAAAACAAATAACAAGATGACAAGCATGGAAAGCAGAATTAATCTAGCTAAAGAAAGAATCTCAGACCTTGATGACCAGAACATGGAATTAACTCAATCTGTTAAAAACATAGAAAGAAGACTCAGAAAGAAAGAACAAAGCCTACAAGAGATGTGTGAATATATCAAGAAGTCAAACCTACGCCTGATTGGTATCCCAGAAGAAGAAAAGGAAATGGAAAACAACTTGGAGCAAGTATTCCAGGAGGTAATCTAAGAAAACTTTCCCCATCTCACCAGAGATATGACCAGCCAAGCACAAGAGATACAGAGAACCTCTACAAGACATCAA